TGATGACTAAAACATTCACTTATACTTCATTTTCTAATTAAATCTTCCCATTGGTTCCAACTTAATTAGAAAATTAGTAAACTAGCAAAAACTTTCCTTAACTGGCTTGACTCAAGTCTTTTCATTCATATACCCTAGCATTGCAGCTCGTTGGCATGCAGCCAAGTGATCTCGTTGGTTAAATAAACAAGGTGCTTCTGCATCAATTCTACATCACCGTTGAGCAGAAAATAGAATTAATGCATAAAACTCAGAAATTAACTTGAAATCCATATAACTACTCTTCAAAATTAAATTTTTTCGTTGGTTCAAATTTAATTGGAAGATAATCAACTTCATTATAGCGGAAACATGTTAATAAAATACATTCTATTAGTTCAGGAGCATTTCGTGGTCCTTATCTACTCTCTGAAAATTTGACCATGTTGGTGTGAAATTTATCAGAGATTTCAACCTCAAACTTAAACTCATTATAATATTGTTATCATCAACGTTGGTCAGAAAATAACAATACCATAATTTAACATAAACAAAAACGAACTACTCCTCTAATTAAATTTTCCAGTTGGTTCTAATTTGATTAGAGGATAAATATGATCAAAATTTACTAAATATAACTGCTCCTCAAATCAAATTCTCCCGTTGGTTCAAATTTAATTAGAAGATAATCAACATTAAACTTTGCAGTGGAAACTTGATAAATTGTTTATCTATTTTTCAGAAGCATCTCATTGTACTCATCTACTCTCTGAACAATTTATCCCATTGGTTCAAAATTGAATAGAGATGGAAAACTAATCAAAATTCATCAAGATTCGCTTCCGAAAATAAATAAACAAATCTATAAACATTACTGTGCATTCGGCCCAACTCTTTCAGGCGCTCGCGTGAGGCCCAGCATGCAGCAGCAGCGCGTGGCCTAGCAACACACAGCAGCACGCTCGCGGTGCCTCCCCACGCCCAGGCTATAACCTGGGCCTGGGCCGGGATTCCTCTCGCCCACCTGGGCTGAATTCGGCCCGTGCAATCCCTACCGTCCGTCTTGATCCGACGGTTGTGCGCGCCGATCGGGAGAACAAAAAACCCACCCCCGCTCGGCCTGCCTCCCCAAAACCCTAGACTCATTCATTCTGCCCCCTTCGACTCTCTCTCGTTGAGCGGCGACAGCGGCGGCGGCCACGGTGGCCGTCGGCGCTAGTGAGGAAGACAGCCACCGAACCAAGTCTAGCTCCCCTTCCTCCTCTTCCTTTCTCTTCCCTTTCCCCTTCTCTTCCTCAGCGCCGCAGTTAGAGATGACCACGACGTGACAGCAGGCCGTGGCAGCCAGAGAGAAGGAAGGTGGCGGCGCCACTACGGGGGCCCTCGCCGGCGCACGTGCTCACCCAAGGCTGAGTGCGTCGCCGTCGAGTGGCCTTGTGGCTGCGCCCTTGACCCCGAAGCCCAAGGCGTAGGCCGCGCGGTGGCGTGACCTCCTAGCCGACGGCTTGGGTGGTTCTTCCCACGCGACATCGGAGCAACGCCGGCGGTGGTGACAATGGCAGGTGAGCCCCAGGTAGGCCCCTGTCCCATCCATCCATCATTCATCGGATTAGGGTTAGGGTTACTCCCGTTTCTGCTCGCGCCCCTGGCCGCTTGGGTGGCTTCCCATGTAGTGTCGAGACGACGACCTGCGGTAATGGCAAGGTAAAATCCCACCGTCTCTGATCTAGGGTTAGGGTTAGGATTTGGGGAATTTGGAAACCTGTTCATCTCCTTCTAAATTCATTCTTCTTTTCTACCCCTAAGACTTAGATCTACACCCTAGCATGGCTCCGATACCATTGTTGGATTCTTAGGATCATCTAGGTGTAGATTGGAGGGTGAATCTGGTACTTGTTTAGTTCAATTCAACCTATAACTTAATACAGAGAGGGAGATGTAGAAGGGGCCATACCTTCGAGCTTGGCAAAGGAGGTAGAGGAGGAAGTAGCTGCCCTGGCAGCGGGTACATAGTGCAGGAGGTGAAGTCTGGCGTAGTGGTGGCGATGTAGAGGCGACGGTGAAGTCGGTGGTGGCATCCCATCGCTGGCAGCACGTTCTCTTTTGATCGGGTTAGGGTTTCTCTGTAGGCGGGTTGTGGTGGCTCAGGTCAACCTCATACCTCATGCCCCGGCCCCAACTTCCCTTTTATGGTGCTATGTGACGGGAGCCCACCAACCATGGAGTGGTTGGTCACCTCCAATTAGGCGTTGATCCAAGGGCCCAATTGGTCGTTGGGCTAATTAGTGGAGATCAAACTAACACCGGCCTGACCCCATGCCGGAGCATTGGGAAACCTTTGCTCGATGGCGACGGCGTCTTCCTAGGTGGCGAGCTCGGTGTCGAGGCCGGACCACTTGATGAACACCTGGGGAACCGTTGAGGAGCCATGAATGTGAAGACGCCTTTGCAGCATTTGTTCCGGCACCTAGAGGTTGAAGTCGATGTCCGGCGGGTTGGGGGCAACAACGCAGCATGGGGGAGGGGCCGACTTGAGCAGCGACACATGGAAGACGGGGTGAATGTTGGAGGATGCCGGCAGCAGAAGCTTGTAGGCGACGGAGCCAATCTTCTCAACGATCTGGAATGGCCTGAAGTACTCGAAGGCTAGCTTCTAGTGAGCTCATGGCGCTAGGGACGACTACACATAAGGCTGGAGGTGTAGGTAGACATTGTTGCCGATGGAGAAGGAACGTTCAGACCTATTCTTGTCTGCCTGGGCCTTCATGCGTTGCTGGGTGCGCAGCAGATGTTGGCGCACGCTAGCCAGCATGGTGGCTCACTCCGAGATCATAGAGGCAGTGTCGGAAATAGGCTTGGCAGCGGAGTTAGCAATACCAAAATGACGAGGGGGTAGCCATAGAGTACCTCAAACGGTGAGTGCCCCAATGCTAAATGAAGGCTGGTATTGTACCAATACTCCACGAGGGGAAGCCATTTGAGCCACTAATAGGGGCATGAGTGAACAAAGCAATGCAAGCATGTTTCCAGGCACTGGTTCACCCTCTCCGTCTAACCGTCAGATTGGGGATGACATGCAGACTTGAGCCAACCGAAACAATTCTCTCCAGAATTGACTGGTGAAGATGGGATCATGATCCGAGATGATATGTGTGGGAAGCCCATGAAGATGAAAGATGTTATCCAGAAACACCAGCGCTACCTTCTGTGTCGAAAAAGGATGATGCAGGGGTATGAAGTGGCTGAACTTACTAAACTTATCAACAACAACCATTATACGGTTGGCTTGTCCCGAGGTCGGCAGGCCTTCAATGAAGTCCATTGAAATTACTTACCAAGAATTTTTAGGCACCGGCAATGGAAAGAGCAACCCGGGATAATGAGCGCGATCGGGCTTCGCTTGGACACAAACGGAGCAAGAAGCCACAAAGGAGCGAACAGCGGCCTTCATACCTTTCCACGTAAACAACTGTTTGATCTGGCTGTCAGTAGCAGGGAAGCCAGAATGCCCACCAATGGCACTGTCATGGAGTGCAGAGATAATTTGGTGCTGAATTGTTGCATCAGAACCCACCCACACACGACCTTGATAGCGAATGAGTCCACTGGTCAGTGAAAACGGAGGGCGGGCCTAGGGATCAACCGACAATTCTTGCAACAGCTTAACACTGGCTATAAGTTGCAGCCACCGTAGATATCCAAGATGGAGTTGGCATAGACAGAGCAAGGAGCTGACCCGGAGGTGCCGAGTGGCGGGACAACGCGTCTGCAGCGGCGTTTGATGAGCCAGACTTGTACACCACCGGTACTGCAGACCGGCTAGCTTGGTGTAAAGCTTGAGCTACCAAGGTGTATGCATCCTTTGGTCGGCGACATGTGATAGGCTTCGCTGGTCAGAGTGGATCGTGAATTCCCCATGAAGAAGGTAAGGGCGCCACTGATCGACTGCCACCATAATAGCTAACGACTCTTTCTCGTAGGGGGAGAGGCCTGCAGTGCGAGGACCGAGAGACTTGCTGACAAATGCGAGCGGATGACTGTCTTGCGGAAGAACGGCACCGACTCCAGAATCGCTGGCATCTTTTTTTCGAACATACCTCAGGTACGGATTTCATTAAGCAGAAGCAGAGTTTTTTTTGTTACAAAGGACTGGCCGGTAATCCTAGAATTACCAGCGCAATCCCACAAGCACAAACGATACAGCAAGAAAGCACGGGAGAGGGGGCCTCTACCAGCAAACCCTTACAGACTGAGCCTATCAGAGGAAGACAAAAACACATTGGTAACCTAAGGTGTAGTGTAGCCACGATACCCAGCATCCACCAAGGAATCCAAGGGAGCCGGCACGACAACAACGACAAAGCATCCGCACGAGAAACGACCACGGTGGCCAAGCATCCGCCGGAAAAGGACCATTATGGCAAAGCATCCGTAATGAGGGCCATCACACGCTCAGCAGCTGAATGAGCATGGAGACCGAAGCGACGAGGTGGCCAAGCATCCACCCAAGCAGCAACAGCGGCAAAGCATCTGCCAAAGAACCGAACGACAGCGACAATAATAAACACCGAAGGACAAACCAATGCGAAGAAAGAGTGGAAGCACAGATAGGCACAGCAGAGTAGGCAGCAACACCGATGAGCAGGCAGCAACACCGATGATCGACGCGCGGTTAAGAGAGTTGTGGCAGCTAGAGTGCCCCAAACGAAGCCTTCAACAAGGGGATGACATCCGCAGATGCCAACAATATTCGGAGAAGCACAGGCAGGATTTTCATCCATAGGATGAACAGAGCTTTTTCATCCCGGAGCCTGCCCCAACGACCCGAACGGTGCAGACAGGCTTCGACGACGCCTTCAGGAAGGAAAATGACGCAGACTGCGCCGCCGCTGCTAGCCCGAAGCAAGAAGCCGGGCAGGGTAGACACACAAGCATGTTAGTCGACACCGTGGGTCGTGGGAGGGGGGCGCCACCGCGCCAAGGGTCTTCCTGACCGGTGAGCAGTGAACTCCAGCTGCCACCTAGGGGACCACACCGATGGCGTGCCGAAGTGGACTCCTAGATGCGCAAGAAGGAGGCATGTCCACGACATCCACAAGGACTGCAGACGGCGGCCCTGACGCCAGATCCGGACCACAAGGTCCCGGAAGGGCCTCCGTCTCGTCCGCCCCTTGCTGCTCCACTAGCACCGCAACCCTCACCGGATCCGCAGTAGACCTCACCAGATTGGACCATAGAGGGCTCGGATCCACCCCGACAGTGTCGCACCAGACGCCACATCCGATGTCGGAGGCCCTGGATCCGGCCGTGGACTGTCAGCACAGCACCAACGACGAGGACGCAAGGCGGGGAGTGGACGCGCCCGCGCCCGGGTAACCACGGTCACGCCTGGCACCGGCGCACGTAGATCCGGGCACGAGCCGCAGGCGCAGACGCGAGCAGACCACCCATCCGGCCGCCTCGCAGACCCGACACCGCGTGGATCCGAGCGGGAGCGCATGACCTGAGGCGGAGCAGACCGAGGAAGGCAGATCCGGCGCAGATGTGGACCCCGCCACCAGCCTAGGGGCGCCGCCGGCTGAGGTCGAGTATGGGGAGGTCGGGTGGGTACGGGAGGGAAGAAGAGGGAGAGGGAGAGGGAGCCACGGCAGACCGCCTTTTTGAGCGATCACCGCGGGCCGCCGCCACTCACCAGAGGCAGCAGCGGCGGCGGCCGGGAGTGCGGCCGGGTAGGCCCCGACGGCGGCGGTGGGTGGGAGCCCCTCGAGTCGCCACAGAGACGACGCGAGGGGGGAAAGGGGGAAGTAAGACTGATGTGAGTTCTTAAATCGCTGGCATCTGTCTGAATGTGAAACGGTTTGGCGAAGTCTGGAAGGGCCAACATGGGCGCTAATGATAGAGCCTGCTGTAAAGCTTCAAAAGCCGACTAATGGAGAGTCGTCCAGACAAAGATGGTGCCCTTCTTAAGAAGATCAGTAAGAGGGCGGGCGAGTAAGGCGAAGTTCCGAACGAACTTGCGATAGTATCAAGCAAGTCTGAGGAAGCTACGCAGTTCCTTGACATCTTGAGGCGGTGGCCAGGAGAGAATAGAGTCAATCATGCCCGGATCAGTCGCAACGCCATCAGCACTGATTATATGCCCCAAGTATGCAATAGATTTCTGAGCGAAACGGCATTTGCTTAACTTGACTTGCCAATGATCAGCCGAAGGTGCTCAAGATGAGACTGATAGTTAGGGCTGTATATCAATATGTCGTCAAAGAAAACAATGACGCACTTCCTCAGCAATGGGTGTAGAGTCGTGTTCATCGCGCCTTGAAATGTGTTGGGCGCGCCAGTTAGGCCAAAGGACATCACAGTGTACTCGAACTGACCCCAATGCGTTTGGAACGCGGTCTTGTGTTCTTCCCCCGGCGCCAAACGAATTTGATTGAAACCGGCCCTCAGGTCCAAGCAAGAGAACCACTTAGCCCCGGATAGCTCGTCGAGCAGCTCATCGACAACTGGAATAGGAAATTTGGACTTGATGGTGAGTGCGTTCAACATCTGATAATCCACGCACATTCTCCGGGAGCCATCCTTTTTCCGGACCAAAAGCACATGAGAAGAAAAGGCACTGCGGCTGGGCTGGATGAAACCGTTGCGGAACAAATCAAACACTTGGCATTCAATCTCATCCTTGAGGGCCGGCTTGTACCGATATTGACGAACTGCCACAGGGGCTGCACCCGGGACCAAGGGTATAGTATGGTCACACGGGCGGCGAGGAGGCAACTCGGTAGGCTCTGCAAACAGGCTGTTGAACCCATCAAGCAGGAGCTGCACCTCAGGAAGCATTGTCTGAGCAGAAGAACCACTGGAATCAGCAGCAATCTGATAGAGTTGGAGTACTGAACACTTCTCGGATTCAGGGGACAAGCCCTGCAACAGAATATGGCCAGACCCGTATGGTATAGACATCCATTTCTCAGCCCAATGTACCTTCATAGGAGAGAAAGCCTCAAGCCAATCCATTCCAATGATCATGTCATAGCTGGCTAAAGGAAGTAGCCGTAGATTTGAGTGAAACTTGTGGTTCTGAAGTGACTATTCAGCATGAGGGATCATAGAAAAACAAGACATTGTACTGCCATCTGCCACACGAACAGTAACAGGAGCTGACAACTGCTGAATACCAGGCATATGTGGAGTCAGAGCTGCATTGAGGAAAGAATGGCTGCTTCCAGAATCAATCAATATCAGCACAGTCTGACCATAGATAGAGCCCTGGAACTGCATCGTCCTTGGAGCAGACTGGCCTGATACGGCAGCCGAGGACAGCATCAAAAACATCTCAGAAGATGGAGAAGGTGTATCATCTTGAGGAGAAGCACTGTCGGACTCAGAGAAATATTCTTGGCACATCTCCCACACTTTCTGAAGTGCATGAAGCTGTGGCGTGGCGGCACATTTGTGGCCGGGCACCCACTTGTCACCACAGCGGACGCACAACCCGCGAGCCTTGCGAAACGAGCGGAGCATAGACAGCTTGTCATCCAAACGCGCTGGTTGATTCCCAGGCTTCTTGTCGTCCCCCGCGCGCCGCTCAATTGGTGCAGGAAGGAGGGCGGGACGCGGCGGGGGAGGAGGCAGGGGCAGAGCTCCCTTGATGGTCGTCGACTTAGGCGAATATAGAGCAGCAGCATGTGTGAAATGATGGGTGGCGATACGAATCCAAACAGAAGGATGAACAGAATACATCTCGAAGTGATTGCGAGCCTGGGTGAGCCACAGTTTGAGGGTTGTGGCCGTCTGCATTTTAGGTAGTTGGCCATGGTGGGATGGATCGATTGGAGGAAGGGGCTAGGTAGGTTGTGATGAACAAGGAAGGGCTGTAGGTGGATTGGGCGGTGGGGGTGGAGGTGGAGGTGGTGGGCGGTAGAAATTGGGTTGGGGATTAGGGACACAGGGGTTAGGTTGGGGAGGATGGTGCGTGAGTTGCATCGGTAATGAAGAACAAGGATAGGATTGTGGATACGTACCATTGGCTGGGTAGGAACTATGGTCGTTACCGATCCATAGTTCCTCTCCTGTGTAGTCGATTCAACGCCGTGCCCCTTGGGCCAGTCGATCATTTGCCCGGCAGGTGAGCGCTCAGCGATCGACTCAGGCAGTACCAGGAGAACGGGTGGAGCAGGTGTCTCCAACATCGCTCGATCCCACTGCTTGGTGAGACGCAGCATCTTTAGACGGGTGTCGTCGATGAAGCCGTCCACACCGGGCCGCCATGCCTCCAGATCCACCACGACAGTCTCCAGCGCAGACACGCGCTCGTCCCAGATTTCATAGAGGCGGATGAGCTCCAGCTCGTTCATGCGGTGCTCGAGGTCGGAGACACGCTCGTCGAAGTGGGCGCCCCAGTTGTCGACGACAACGGCGGCGGTGTACTGGGAGTTGGTGTAGTCCTCAAGCTGAGCAACTCGCAGATCGAACGCCTCCGCGCGACGATGAGTCGACGCAGCCCGCTGCTCGAGCAGAACGAGGCGGCGGTCCTCCTCGGCGGCGCGCTCCGGGACGCCGGAGACAAACTCCTCCAGAGATCCAAGGTGCTGGTCGACGGCAATGTCACGCGCCTGCCGCTCTGCAGCATCGTCGTTGTGGCGCTTCTCCTAGCGCTCCCAACGCTCGGAAGAGCGGGCCTCCATGTCGTCGAGCCTCTTGAGCACGATGTCGAACATGTTGCGTGCGTTGGGCTCCATGGCATCGTGGGCGTGCTGGAACCGGGTAAAATGGGGATGAGAGGGGTGGGAGGGATCCAGCACGAACTCCAGGCCAGAGGACGGTGGCTTTGATACCAGTGTTAGCACCGACAGTCGGTGCTAGAGGAATCGGAGGTAGGAGAAGGAAGAACGGGAGCATGGCGAGAAGAACAGGGAGGAACCGGCAGAGGACCGGTCAAGAGTTCTATTTAGACTGTCTCCAACAACCGCGGCCCAAAATACAAGATATATTTGTCCTTTCGGTAGCGCTACAGGCAAAGGGTTAAATACCTATTTTTCGTCTTCTCCAACAACAAAACACAAAAGACAACTATTTCTGCAAATAGGTCTCCAGGAGAAAGGATACTTAGATTTAGATTATGCCTCTCCCAGCACCCAAAATAGTTCTTCCATATATGTACTCTGTTGGAGGTTATAGGTATTGTGTTGGAGACCTATTTTGAATTTAGGTCCACAATGGGTCTCCCGTTGAAGACAGCATTAGAATTGAGTTGCTTAAAGTTGCTTACATCCCAGAAGCACCATCTACTTATGCTCCAAGCTCACAGATCCTCACCCACTCGAGTTACAAGCCCACTCTGGGCTGGATATCTTGACGTTGCGCTTCTTGGGCCGAGTGCTCTTCCTGGGATGGGCCGAGGCTCCTGGATCACCTGGGTGATGGGCGTTGCTGACATACTCCATCCGTCTCTAAATAACTGTCGTCGTTGGTTTTCGTACCGTAAGATTGACTAGATTTGTAAAAATACGTGCAACATTTGTATCTCTAAATAAATTTATTATGAAAATAGATTTAATGATCTATCTAATGATATTAATTATGTACTATAAATATTAATATTTTTATATAAAATTAGTTAAAGTTATTTCTCGGAAAGTGAGAACAACAATTATTTAAAGAGGGGGGGTGTATATACAAAGATCTCACTATAGATAATCTTGAGTGGAACCATGCGTATTGAGAACATTTCACAATGCTTATCTACGCTTTCTATATACTCCCTCCGTCTCAAAATAAGTGATATTTTAGGTTTCTCCTAAGTCAAACCATTTCAAGTTTGACCAAATTTATAGAAAAAATATCAATATTCTTGACACCAAATAGGTAGAATATGAAAAAATATTTCATAATAAATCTAACAATATTTATTTGGTATTATAAGCATTAGTAGTCTTTTGTATAAATTTGATCAAACTTAAAAAAGTTTGACTTTGGACAAACCCAAAGTATCACTTATTTTTGGACACCGAGAGTATGTATCTATAATTATAATATAACACTCTCCCGCCATTATCTGAAATTATAATATAACACTGTGTGGTGCCTGCTGTCATTCAAATCGAGGCCCATCCAGCCCACCGTCCAGTAGTGTTGGTGGCCCAGAAACAAAAAGGCAACGCCCGGGCCGCTCGTCGTGTCTCCTCTCTTCTTTGTCCGCTCCACTTCCTGCACCCCGCCCGCTTCTTCCCCCAAAGGCCAAAACCCTAGACCCCCCTCCGGCCCTCCCTCCAAACACCGAGCTGCCGGCGGCTCCCGCGTATGGGGGGATCGCGGCGCAAATTGAAGCGCTCCCGCACCAAGGTCCGCGTGGGGCTCCCCCGCCGGAAACCCAATGAATTCAAGCCGGCCTTCGAACTCCCCGAGGCACTCGCCGCCGCCGCCGGGGGCGGGGTGGGCTGGGACGCCGAGGGCAGCGTGGTGAAGAACTACGCCGCGTTCGGGGTGGTGGCCAACCCAAACCTACTCGGCGCGCACGCCCGCGGCACGCCGCGTCTCGTCCAGAGCGCGTCCCTGCAGGCGCCCGACGTTGCCGCCGCGCGCGCGCCCATCCCGGAGTTCGAGCCCATCGACACCGGCAGCGACCTCGAGAACGACGGTCAGCCCCCTTAAACTCGGCTCCTCTCTGCTCCGTTTGATGGTGTTTATTGGGAACTCGTGTAACTGAGTTGCCATAGAGTGGAAGGTTTGGTGTGGTTCGCATGTTCCCCAAAGTTCTGGATTACCAGGGTACATGATAAGGTTAAACTGGATAAGGATGTGTCTCGTTCAATTACATTGATTGATTGAGATTCTTAGAAACTATGGTTATTAGCTCTAGTGAATTCACTGTTCTGAGGGATTGATCAAACAAAACCTTGGATCTAATTCTTATCATTAGCTGTTGTGTTAGATAGTAGTATAACATTTGATGAAGTCTGTCTTGAACTGTATTTTCTCTGAATTGTGAATGATTGCTTTGAAGTGCCAAGTATTATGAAACACACTCTGAAACCAGAAAACGAGGAGGATAAAAATAATCTGATTTCTTCTACACTTTAATATAGGAAAAGAGCATTTGATGTTTTTATCTTCACATAATAGAATAGCATATGTTTTGAAACAAAAACATTTGCCTATAGGATAGAACAGTGATTAATGAGTATAGAATGCGGCTGTTCTACTAAACTATTATAAAGTGCACATTGTTTTGCTTAACATAACGTTAGATAAATGATCTGTCATGGCTACCTGAAGTTATAACGAGTTCCGCCAGTTTTAGCATCTGATCTTGAAAAAGAAATCAATTTGTTAAAAGTGCACCGCATCGAACTCAAAACTCAATTTGAATAGTTTCATGCCAGTTTAAGGCTATCTAAATCTGTTTCAATTGGCTTTCTGCAGTAGTCTTGTGTGTTGTCATGACGATATATAGTTTAAAGAGTAAAAGATTGTGGTCTTGTGGGAAAAAAGGTGTTTGTTCCATCAAGCATGAGCTGTGATATATTTCAGCAAATGTGTGATGGATCGAAATTGAATTTTAAGCTTGTTCTTGGCACGTTATATAAGGTAGCAATATATCATTTAGAGGCTTATTTTGTATAGTTCCATGTGTCCTTTCCTTTCGGTTGCAGTTTAGAAGGAACAGCTTGGTATGTTGTGTTTGGCATCATTCTCAAGATATGCTAGATATGAGAATATCATTCCTATTTGTTTTCTTAATTGCTTAGATTCCACAGAAAAACTTCTATGATCATATATGTGAGCATTGCACTTGTTTTTTTGTATCTAATGCAAATGTTTTAAATGTAGTGTAGACCTGAAATCTGCTCTTGGGAAGAAAAGGAAGGATGGCAAATCTGCACCATTGCAACCACTAGCTAAAATTCAACGTGTTTGCATTGGCAGATTAATAGACAAGTACGGTGATGACTACAAGGTATAGTTGGATATTGAGATGTGGCGTTAATCAGAGTTAATAGTTTACGGGAACTTCAATTGTGTGATTGTGGACTGAAAAACCATCATGCTTGCAGGCCATGTTCATGGATACCAAGCTGAACGCGATGCAGCACTCTGTGGGTACATTGAAGCAGCTATGCGAAAGATACCATGTTGACGGCAAGATCTTCGTCTATCCACTGTAGTATTGTGCCAGCGCCTACTTCAGTCACACAGTGTACTCTGTTCCTCCCACTAATGGAACAAGAACAATTTTGTCAATGAAGGTACTTGCGGGTGACCTTTGGTGTAACAATGAGCTTTGCTTCTTGTTGCAAAACTATGTGTTGTGAGCAGTGCCATGTGCCCTTGACCCCAGGAGGAAATCGCAATTCAGAACTGTTGTGTACTTGGGCTTTGGTATGTTGTGTTTGGTCGGGTTTCGAGAGCTGTGCTGACTTCCCAATATTGCTGGTATCAGTTGTCGGTTGTCGCAGTAGTTTACTGTTCTTTTGTCAAGTGAATTATGCAGGGATAAACCATGCAGTCGTCTAAGCAAAAGGACACAATGAGTGCTCAGTTTGTTGCTCGTATTGTATCGATTGCATGGCCGTTTGCATTTTAATAAGGCCAATATCTTACACCCCTATTCGGGGGAAAAAGACTTATACACGGGGGGAAAAAGGCCAATATCTTACACCCATATCCGAGGAAAAAACTTCCACGGGGACACCCCTATAGTGGGAAATCGAACGACGTCAGAATCCAACAAGCAGAACAAACGTCAGAATGGAGGTGTTCATCGTCGAGCAGCCGCCTCCGTTCTAATATCATTCTCGCGTGGGTTCCATGACAATGACCACAGCTTTAATGTTTCCAGCAGAATTCGTAGTTCTAGTTGTCTAGGCAACGCTATAAATCTTGGATATTCCAAAGCTCTAGTTGTCTCGGCAATGCTGTGAAGTTAATCTTGGATATTCCAAAGTTCTAGTTGTCTCGAAAATGTCAAAGGTAACTGCATAATAGATTCATCACAGCAATAAGCGGTCAAACAAAGCTAGTCTGCGGGCCCACAATGCTATGTACCATGTTTGGGACAAATCAAAGACTCGTTGTGCTGACACAATACGGTCCGACATGCCTAGTGTCACCTAAGATCTTGTGCTGACATGGTTGCCTCCTAAGGTGGTGGCTAAGGAGGTCATGCTTGGGCATCTCTGAGTGTTCTCCACGTGATTGGGCCGTGTTTCACCTTGGGTCAGATCTCAGGGTGAATAATAAGCCCATGACGACGATGTAGCTCTCGATAGAAGCAACAAAAGCATGCCATGATGATTTGGAGGCTTTGTTGATGTGATATTGAGGTAGGACCAGATCTATTTGAAAGCTTATCAAATAATTTTTTCATCAAGTGCTTATTGACCTCAATCGCACTCTGGATGGATGAGCTATGGCCTTCCCAATAAAGCACTGTCGGGCTACTGACGAACCGAACGTTAGACTTTGATGAGCTTACACTCCAAGATCGATCTTGTGCATGTTATATCCATGTCCCATCTGTCGTAGAGGCCATAGGAAGTGTCTTTCCCAAGTTCACATCATCATCATCATTATTCCTAAGCATATTGAAAGCAACAACATTAGGTACCAATAAATTCTTACTTATGTCGTTGTGCAAATATAGAAACGAGCTCACCTTGTCTTTCACTTTCATGGGCATATCCATGCGTGTCATGTCCTCATCAAGACCGATGCAGTGGAGACGGCGGTTATGGCTAGCCAGCGCCCAGATCCATTGAAAAAGAGGGAGAAGGGCCGAAGGGGAGTAGAGGAAGTTCTTTAACATGCCTCTCGTGAGCCAAAGCTTTATTTCTCACTGGATTTGTCCGACAAATAGGCAAAATTACGGATGTCGTCACCACATCCATAGGCAAATTTGTTAAACGGAAATACTCAGGTACAAGCGTCCGTTCTATTGGATGAGGAAAAAAAGAGCAACATTTCCCAAGACGCCCGTGCGTTCCTCACCGCCGCACTACGCCGCCCGTCCGCAGCGCGGGCCGGGGGTGCCTCGTCGCGTCCTTCTCCCGCGCGGGGGCGCCTCACCGCGGGAGGCCGCACTCACGCTGACTGCCGCTGCCACCTCCACCGTGGATGCCACTCGCCGAGGGCACCGCACCCGCCCTATGGTCTGGGGCAGCGTAGCCGCTCATCGGGGGCCGCGCAGCTACTAGCCTGCTGCCATCCTCCACCACAACCTAGCACTGGATCCCGCTGTGCAGTGCTCCGCCCACCCGCCGGGTTTTGCCAAAAGTGCATGTTGCAAGCGTATGTTTCAAGTATTTTAAATGTTTCAAAGATAAGTTGCAAGTGTTTCATATGGATGTTACGTATGTTGCACTGGCTATACACGTATGTTGCAAGCGTCTGTTCCAAATGTTTTATCTGTTTTCATATGTATGTTGCAAGTGTTTTATCTAGATGTTGCAAGTGTTTTGTCTGGATGTTGCATATGTTTTACAATAGTTTTCAAGTGTTTTAAGGTGTTTTGCAAGTGTTTCAGACGCATGTAGCAAGTGCTTCATCAGCTGTTTCATGCATATGTTGCAAGTATTTCATCTGAATATTGTAAAAGTAGATTTGGTGTTGCACATGTTGCAATAAGACCCACCTGTTGTAGCCACCGGCGCTGCCGTGCATGCGCGTGGGAAGCGGAGGGGGCACGAGCGGTTCCCGTGCGTGGTCTGGAAGCGCGGGCGACGTCGTCTGGGCGGCGCGGACGTCCGGATGTTCGGGCGCTAGTACTACCGTTTGTTAAAACACGGTAAAATTACTAGGAATAAGCAGTTCTGATATCATTTGCCAACTGATTTGATGTCATGTCATTTGAAATACATTTGCAAGTTCTTTGGTATATATATCAAGGATGGTCTCACTTAATTGCAACACTCCATTTTGCTTATCAGATTTTGAATGGTAAGAAATCCAATGATTTGCAAGAGTAGTTCTCTCTGTATTATTTGTATCAGTAGTGACAAGTGTCTCATGACAACTGTTCCTGTGGTGCATATATATAGGCTGCAGCTAAAGGGTGTACCTATGGCTATGATTCATAAACACTGGATTCTGAGCCTGACTAAATACAAGAAACTGTTGAATATAATGCTTCTGTGACCTGTGTAAAAGAATGGATATGAAGCATTCTTTTCCTCTGCCATATATGTGCTGCTAGTAGACTCATTGTTCAGCATGTGAGCGTGCATCAGTACTGATAACGTTCTCTATGTTTGTTCCGATTTCACCCCTCAAGAATTTGCCGTACCACTGGGCGGAGAGTTTTGGTACTCTTGGCAGCTCCGGGTCCTGAAAATCAACATGATAGAGGCCGAATCGCGAAATGTAGCCTGCCAGCAGCTCAAATACATCCAGGAATGACCAAACGAAGTATCCCTTCACATTGGCTCCATTCCTGCAGGAAGCACAACATCCATCATTTTTTTTTCGTTTTTTTGCGGATACATCAAAAAAAAAAAAGGGGGGAAATATCTTATGTCAGGAGAAAAGAATACTACAGTATCATCCTTTAATTTATTTATCCCATACCTGAGTGCAGCGAGTGCACTGCCAATGTAGTCACTCAAGTACTCCGCTCTCTCATGGTCATGAATGGAATCATTGAAGAACGCCCCAAAGCCTAACAGAATGGAAGAGCAAATAGGAGTTAGTTGAATTGCAAAAGCCTTGACAAGATGTATTTTGCACGTGGAATTAAGAAAAACCGCAGGGCATTTAAGTAGTACTAGGTGACTTGCCATTTTCTTGCACGTAGACAGGAATGTTGTTGTAGGTTTGGGTGAGATGCTCAAGCATAAATTGCAGGCCCTGTGGATCGCTTGGCATGTTGATTGGGATAAACTGTATAGAGATTAGCACATCAACTTTGATCAGTTATAAACAAAGAAGAAAGAGTGAAAAACGCTACTGTATTTGGTTGGTTGTAATTCAACTCAGTTACAGTATTAAGGAATAAGGAGTCGATGAAATTCGTAAAAAGAGTTGACAGTATATATACCTGGCCAGTGGCTGGATCATCGCGAGAAACTGCAACAACAAACGAGCAGGTTATGCATGGTTACAGCAGGTAATCAAATTTGTGACATGTTTGGTTTAAATTTTTTAAGCTAGATGCCTAATTCCTTGTCCATATATATAGAGAGAGAACCAGAAGCTCCAAGGCTTGTGTCATATAAGGTGACCAGGGTGATGAGACAAAAGATCAAACTTACATCTGAAGGTAGCGGCCAGATCAGCATTGTAGTCCCGGGGACCCGTGGTGTCTGCTGTGTTGGATCGATCACTGACGTACACTGAGGTGTAGTGGTTTATGCCAAGGAAATCAGCCGTCCCACGGATCATCTCAGACTGTTCTTTGGTGAATTTGGGAAGCCGGGACCCGATTATCCTCTTCATCACTTCAGGGTAGTCTCCATACACCAAGGGGTTTACGATCCTAATTAAGCAGCAAAACGAATCAAATGTCTTACTAAATCATAGCTATATAAGAATGCTGATCAGTCGTCAGTGATTCAGAAGCGAGGAGTCAACACTGAACACACTCACCAGCCAATCATGAAGTCGAATGATCTCTGCGTCGCCTCGACGTCAGCGGGGCTGGACGAGAACGGGTAGTTCCAATAGCTGTAGACATTCATGCCGACGACGCCCTTCTGCGTCGCCTGGTATTTCTCTCTGTAGAGTCTGACGGCGGCGGCGTGCGCGAGGATGGAGTGGTAGCCGACGATGTAGGGCTCCACGCTGGAGTTGCCGGCGGTGCAGTTGATCCCGAACGGCGCGGAGCAGCGGCACGGCGGGAAGGCGCCGCTGTCGTAGGCCGCGATGGAGATCACGTTGGGCTCGTCCATGGTCGTCCAGTGCCTCACCCGGTCGCCGAACTCCAGGAAGCACACGTCCGCGTACGCCTTGAAGTCCTCCCTGCATGCAGTTGCCATCAGTCGCATTAGTATATTGCACGACCTATCTGAAATTCTGAATGAACAGTGTTGCTCAAGCAAGCAATGCAAGCAGCAGAGAGACAGAGATGTTAACAGTGATTCTTACACCACCCTGGGGCTCAGCCAGCCATGGTACTCGTCCTCCAGGATCTGAGGGAAATCCAGGTGGTACAGGGTCACGTGTATCTCAATTCCTGAATAATGCAGCAGATTAGGCAGGTTCAGAACATCAGATTCAGTACAGTGCAGTGCAGCATGCATGATGAATTGATGATGAGCCGGCAACACTTGACATGGTGACCGACCCCGTTTCACTAGCTCATTGATGAGGTTGTTGTAATACTGGAGACCCTTGGGGTTGATGGGTCCTCTTCCTCCTGTGATCATACAGTGCAGAGAAAGGGCCAGAACGCCAATTATATTAATAACGTCAGTGATGTCAGATTATTACTTGGAACTTTAAACAAATTTACCATGAAATTGAAAGGTAGTGCTAGTGCCTAGTAGTGTGGTCTTACTTGGAAGAAGCCTGGACCAAGAAATGGAGAAGCGGTAGGCCTCCAGGCCTGTATCACTCATCAACTGCACGTCTCCCTGAAAATGTGTCCGGCCTTGTGAGTAAAAAGCTCTGTACATGCAGTCGCATTTCGCACTAATCATTTTACACAAAGCTTTCTTGTACGTTAAGTCAATGGGCTAGTGAATATCTCTCAGGTGCAACTCTTAGCCTCCGTATACGTGTTCCTATACCCTGTTCGTTTGAGCTTGTTTGACTGATAAGTCATGACTGAAAGTATCGTTAGTTGATTTGATGTGAGAGAAAAATATTGTTCGTTGGCTGAAAAAATACGATTTATAAGACAAACAAGTCAAACAAACGAGGTGAGCTGCTGTTGCTTGCTGCGGACACACCACACTCAGCAGACAGCAGTTACTGTACAAATCAATCAGGCACAGCTGCATCCTGCTGCTGCATAAGGGTCATTTTCATTTTCATAGGGGCTATATATATGGTCATTTTACATCTCTCTTAATGTGTTCTAATAAACAAAAATCAAATCCTAAGTGTCAGTTTTTTGGACAGGAGGTAGTACTATATCATATCTTATCTTGACGGTTAAAAATTAAATCTGGTACCACCTAGTTCCATGCATTCCATTTGTCAACAAGGTATGGCGTGAAAAGTAGAGGCAAGAAGAAAGCTGTAGCTAAGTAAGTATGTGCCAAAGAAAGGAACAAACAAAAAGAAGATTTTATGGGTTGGGTTCATGGTCCAAAGACTCCAAACATCAATTTCTGCTAACATACGTTCTGTTCGCTTGGCTTATAAGCCGTACTTTTTCAGGAAACGAACAATATTTTTCTCTCATAATAAATCGCAAAACAGGTACTTTCAGTCATGGCTTATCAGCAAACAAACAGGGTAATAGGCGATTGCATATTTTGGTTGTACTTGGTAGCCTTCTAGCGAATGCAAATGGAGTGCAGACCATGTATTTGTGGTAGCCGTCTGCCCCTAGATCGCCAGTGCTTTTGTCCGGCATCCTACCTGCGGTCACAATAACGTGATATATATATATAGCTCATAATCCTAAAAAGAAAGAGCGACTGTACAAAAAAAAAACCAAGACTATAAACGCCAGGCGTAATACAAAAACTAAAATCCAAATGGACCGAGCAAATCAAAGTACATGAATAATACGTCGCTTCCAATCCCTTGAAACAACCAAAAGGTGGGGAAAAAAAGGCATGTGGCGAAGAATTCGATATAACGTCTAGCATTCTTGGTTTTTCTTTCTTTTTTTTAAGAAATACAAGGCAGGTTATCTATAAATTCATAAATAGACTTAATTTTTATAGGTTATGCACGTAATCTATAAAATTAAGTCTATTTGTAGGTTTACGGATAACACACCTTACTTTTTTTTTCTGCGAGGGTGTGCCATCTCTGTAGCCATTTGTATCGTTGGAATTCCAATCATAATCTAACAATGAACAAGGGAAGAGAAGCTGCTAACTGCTACTGCTATATATGCAATTTTCTTCGAATTTAGTGGCAAGGACAGAGGCGGAGCCAATGAGCCTTTCTCTTCTCTCTCTTCTGCTCTCTTCTCTCATATCATCTCCCTTCTCCTTCCTTTTTGCTCAAAATTGGGGCTCAAAATGATTCAGAAATCAAGGATCACCTACCTGCATGAGTAAACGTGTCCCATATGCTTGGGCTCCTTCCATCTTCATCGGTTGCCCCTTCGTACTACACACATATATACGCACAACAAAATAATGAAGTTAAGCAAGGAACCAGCAAATACGTACCACATAGCTAACAGAATTAAGATAAAGTTAAGACTAGCTAGAACTCTTCAATTGCGCCGAAACAAAACTCCACGCGGGCCAAACTAAAGCTGAGTTGTGTACTCGTACCTGATAAGCTGATGTGCCGGCCCCAAAGACGAAGGCCCTGGGAAAATCCTGCCTGGTGAAGTTGAGAGCTCGAGCTGCCGTCTCGCCCTGCCATGGCGACAGAAGAAGCAGCTGCAGCGACACGAGGAGGAGGACGTGCCTGCAGCTGCAGCTGCAGGGACGAGTAGGGGTAGGGACCCCCATATCTCTGTGTCTCTCGTCTCAGTCGCGAGTGACGCCTCGACTCTTCTCTGGAGTACTTTGCCTCCCGCTCTCCGATCCTGCAGGCGGATGTGCGGTGCGGTGCGCCTTATTTATGTACCTGCGAGGAACGTGGACGAGGACAGGCTAGTGGTGTACTCTTCTACAATATACTCGCTCCGTTTCAAATGACAAAACGTTTTGTACTCTTGAGATACTACTTTTTTTATTATATATATACATATAAACATAGTATATATCTAAGTGCATAATAAGCTCTGAATCTAAGTCAAAACGTCTTGTAATTTTTGGAATGGAGGAAGCACTTGACTTTCTAGCTTTCCACACTCGTTCCGATTAATTGTCAATTCTCACTTTTCAATACACATTTCTCTTTTTCAATACATCTCTATTTCTATCTCTCTTCTTCTCCTTTCATGCAGGACTACAACTTTTCCACTTTTCCTTAGTTAATTATAGTTCTAGCCTCCGGCTGTTTAAAACAAGCTCTCAAAAAACAATTGGAAAAATGGACCAACAACTTAATTGCTAAGCCTATTGGATGACAGCCGTCCATGCATGGCGAAGATTGATGTTGTATCAATATATGACATGCCTACTTTAAAACCTGGTTTGTCGCATTTCTTTTGAAGGATGGACAAAAGCAAGTCCAATAGCTAGTCCTGGAAATAATCTACAGATAAGAATTGAATCTTTTTTTTTGTCTAAGACCACATCATTTCTACTCAACTAAATATACCAAAAAAATTACACTTCCTCTCACATGATTTTGAGATCGTATTTTTTAGTCTAAATTGGTGAAGCATAAACCCTAGAAAATGTAGTTTGTGATGTTACTTGGTGGCCATAAACCAAATGCAACTTGAAGGACTCGTCAAATAAATCTTGCAACATGACAACTGAAAAATAGGTGTTGGGTGGTTTCCTTGTTGTTGCAAAACAACATTTGTGAATTACATTCCAATTTGTCTTTATGAGATTTTCTTTTGTTGCGATAACCCCCTTAAGCAAGAACCACACTAAGATCTTGATTTTGAAGGGTAATTTTAACCTGCAAATAGACTTATTTAGAGACAATGCCATTTGGTTTACTAAATGTTTATACATTGACTATTGCATTGTGGAAACATCCCTTGATCAGTAAGGGACCATTTGATTAAATCTTTCTAGTCAACTAGGTGCACAAATGCAATCTTAATACCTAATTCGTTCCACTTAAGTAATTTGTCCCCAGCCCGCTAATGTTCTTTGAAAAAAGTTATATTAAAAAAGTTGTATGGTTGAGAGCAAGAGAAACTAAAATGTGTGGGTATGTTGCTTGGTGGGGGTATTTTTTTAGAATTACACGATACAACGCAGACACTCATAACACACGCACACTCACCCTATGAATGCACGCACGTAAACCCTACCTCTATGAGCATCTTCAATGACTGAGCTAGCAAATTCTCTAGATTGACCGCTTTTTTTCGAAGTTCAAGAACGTCCCAATCATGCATGATGCAACCACTCCAGTGAATGAGTGAAGTTGGAGAGGTGTGGAAGTCACTGACGCCAGATGCAACCATATTCAACCGCTGGAGCTCGCCGGCTGCAAACAACCAAAGGTGCCACGACAGTGCTACTGTAAGACGACAAAAACAAATGGTCATCGGTGACGTACGTGCACACGAATGGACGCTTGCTTAGCTAGTAAGCTGTTAGACTCCCAGCTTTATATAGTACTAAGCTCCGTCAAAAAGATATCATTCTAGAACCGTAATTCTCTTAAATTTGCTCGAATTTATATAAAATGGGACTAATACTTATCATATTATTAAATATTTTTCATTAGATTCATCATAGAATATATTTTTTATAAGATACCAATTCAAAGTTACTAATGTTTTATATTATTTTAAATAATTTTAATAGATTTTGCGAAAATTTCTGTAATTTTGGATGGCCGAAAAAATTTGAATAATGAACTTGAAAACCCTCAACAGGCCAAAAGCATGCAACTCTAATTTTGTTCTTAGTTAAACTATTTTAGATGCGATCAAATGTATAGTACCTCCATCTCACAAAGAGTAACGTTTTGGTTGTCTTAAGTCAAATAATCTCAAACTTAATTAAGTTAGTATAAAAAGTTACAATGAATTAAATGTGTATTGTTAGATTTATCATGAAATATAGTACCTATGTAGTGTTACAAAACATTGATACTCTTCTTTATAAATTTTGTCAAACTTGAGATTATTTGACATAAGACAACTAAAATGTGACTTTTTCATGACAGAGATAGTGAAAATAGTGTCAATATTTATGACTCTAAATAGATATATTACGAAATATAAGTCATAATAAATCTAATTATACTTATTTGACATTATAAATATTTACTTGTGATATAAATTTAGTTAAAAAATAATTTGGCTTAGTATGGAGTCGTATTTTTTAGACATAGAGAAAGAACAAGGGCATCTTTATGTCCTTTCTTATTGATAGGAATTGGGATTTTGGTTAAAAAATACCCTGTAATAATTTCTTTTATTAAATCTCTAAATATTACTATCCTCTATTCCGGATTTTTCGCTAGACAAAGATAAAAGGCAGGTTATCTCTCTAGAGTGCACACGAAATACAAAAAAAACTATAGGAGGATTAAAAAAATATAAAGAGTGATTTTATTTAAACAACTATTCAAGGATGATTTAGATAAAACTTTTGTAGGCGCTCTAAGTATAGCAGGCGAACAGAGGGAGCCAGGAAGACGGCAACGTCTGCGAATATAAGACGGCAAGATTGATGGCGTAAAAGAACCCACCACGATATGTATGAGCTATCCAATGTCAATCGTCTGTGCTGGCAGATTTGGTGGGGCATGCATGGAGCAGTGCCACCAGGCGCTATCTCAATTCTCAGCAGCTGCTATGATGTGAGGGTGAAATTAACAGAACACACATGCGTATAAAATTTCAGGATGATTAAATCCTAGTTAATTTGTGGTACGAAGCTAAAGTACCGTGAAAAAGGAGTGAAGAAAAGGACTGTACCATTGTAATACTATATCTTTTTTTCCCTTGCTATCTGCGGAATTAAAACAAATATGTCCTTCCTCCAAAAGCACTTCAACACATATAAGCACCTATTTAGAGCGTAAGAATTTCATAAAAATCATACTTGAAATTTACAAAAATTAGTTCAATTTTTCATCCTAGAGGTGTCGTCATTTTGGAAGAGACGGTTCATGAGTTACATTAGAAAAACAGTGCGGGGTCTTTTTAAGAATGATTTGAATAGGGATGTAATAAGATAAAAATGACTTGTTATTTCAAACATCGCGGATGAAAGGCTTCTCACCCAAATGGACAGCTTGGGTTAAAACTTTCATTTTGGGTGATAGTGTAGCTATCAATGTTAATGACGATGTTGGATATTACTTTCAAACCAAGAAATGCCTTTGATAGGGGAGATCTTTTATCGCCCTTGCTTTTTAATATTATAGCGGATATGCTAGATATTCTAATAAATAAGGCCAAAGAAGATGAGAAAGTCAGTGGAGTAGTGCCACATCCCACTGCTATCTATCCAACAATATGTTTTTTAGGGCTCGGTGGGGGAAAACCCCCATCTATTTTTTTGTATTAATATGATGAAAATAGGTACAAAATTACAGGTGCACGAGGGGTGCAAGAGGGAGCTTGCAAAGCTCAAAACAAAAAATTACAGAAAACATTAAGCTATATTCTCTAACCAAAGACTAAGTGAGCCAGCAAGGCTAGGCTTGGCTTTGATGCAAATCCAGCCAATCTCGATCCTGAAAAGAGCCTTCCAGCTGTTTAGGGTGCAAGGTTTGCCATCGAAGATAAGTCCATTTCTTGAGTTCCAAATCGTCCAGCAGGCAGTGATGAGAATCTCTCTGAAGATGGGGCTGCCAAAGGTGGTTCTTGCTTCAATTAACATATCCAGTGGTGGCAAGCTTAAATCCCAATGAATATCAATGTGATTCCAACAAGAGAGGCTGAAGGGACATTCAAAGAAAAGATGCACGCAAGTCTCTTCCACGTTACTATTACAGATGGCACAGTTGTAGTCATCAAGGTACATATTCTTCCTTCTTAACAAGTTCCTGGTGTTTAGCCTGTTCTTGAGGAGTAGCCAAAAAAAGAATTTATGCTTGCCAAGATTGCCAGCAGACCACATCTAGGAGAAGAGAGGGGAGGCAACTTCTTTTCCTTGAGGACATTTATAGGCCTTTTTTGAAGAAAACTTACTGGAATTCCAAGTATAGATCCATACATCAGCAACTTCCTCATCCCAGGCATGCATCTGCAGCAACATTTCTAGAGCTTCCAATTCTTCAGAGGCCTGGACTGAAAGTGGTAGGAAAAATTTGCACTGAGGTCATGGTTCAAGTAGAATCTGACTGAACATTTCTTCTTCTTGGCAAAGGAGTAGAGATGAGGGAACAGATCTTTAAGATAGTTGTCACTCCAGACATCTCCCCAGAAAAACTGAGTTACCACAGCTAGGATTGCAGTGGCTCAAGGCTCTAAACTCAACATGTAGCATGAGGATATCCTTCCACCAGAAAGAACCAACAGGGCATCTAGCATGAGGTGGTGTGTTGGTAGTGTGATAGAGCTTGTTCCAAGTCAAAGTTACCCAAGGGATATCTGCATGATTGAAAAACTTATCTAGGAATTTCAGAAGGAGTGCTTTGTTCTAGGTTCTGATGTCAATGATACCAAGGCCACCCTCATCCTTTGGTCTGCATGCAGGTTCCCAGGCAGCCAAGCAAGTACCCTTCCTGAGTTCCTGTTGATGTCTCCATTGCTCCAGAGGCAATGCTTTCTGTACCTATCAATTCTCTGTACAATTTGTGGAGGTAACAAAAGGTTGCACATGTAATAGGTGGGCATGTCACTAAAAACAGAATTAACCAAAACAAGTTTGCCCTGATAGGATAGCATTCTACTAATACCATTAAGCCTGCACTC